TCAACAAAGGTTTCACTTCAATCTGGTAAATGGTAGGCAATTAAGTGTGGAATTAAAAAGAAAAAAGTACAAAATATGAGATTGAACATCACTGTGGTCTTTGTATAGTTTCAAAGACAGAGGTAGAACTGAATAGCAATTGTATTGCAGTGAGCTTAACATATGAAGTGTATTCAAAAGACAGATAAAACGTGAGTTGAAAATGAGGAGCAATTCAGAGCCTAGTGCGTAAAATTGTAAACTTAAAGAATGTTGCAGCACCCACAGGTGTGTCCATAGAAGTAATCTGGGTTCAGTGACATAAAAGCTTCAAGCAAACCCCAAATTTTGAGGCAAGTTATACACATTGAAAGCAAGCTTCAAAATCTGCTGAGCTGGTAACTGTTTGTTCCTATTCATCTGGTTGCTTAAAGCTGATCAGTGTTCATAGCCATTCATCTGGCTCAGACCTGTGTTCGAGCATTTGACTTAAATATGTGCAGCCTGTCATGACAAAAAAAATCTTGAAAAGTGCTTTGGAGTTTGTGCTTTGGGGGTCATATTTTTATTAGCTAGTTACATTCTTGCATTGAAGCAGCCCTCAGGAGTTTCTGTTAATTGGTTTTCAAATATGGTCCTTTAATTGTTCAAACATTGAATTTAGATTTGACTACACTGGCTAATTTTTAATTAAGGTAAGTTTACTAAAATAACTTTGAAGGATTAAAATGGTTTGGCAGAATCATATATCATTTAATTTCACTCTGTAATACTCTGTTTGCAGGTGGAACCTGGCATCCCCAGAGAGCCTCGCTGGTTCCAAGGGAGTGCCTGCCTGGAAATCATTACAAAAACGGGGCTTCAAAGAATATAATGTAATCTTACTTCAGAGTGCTATAGTTTAAAATTCAGCATCTGTTTTAATTGAGACTTTTCTTATACAAGTGAAGTAATATGAGGAAGAAGAATGTTTAATATTTCCCAATGACTGAATAGGGACACTGCTTTTGGTTCAAACATCCCCATTCTTTTCTCTTTATCTTTCTAGCACTGTCATCTTGCCACCTGTAATTCTTGAGCCAGTGGAAGAATTCCAGGTGCCACAGGAATGCTTTGTATTTGTTCCTGCTGCCTTTGCTTCCTTGGATCTTTCTCTGTTGCTTCTGTTTTGTGAAAGTAGTATGACAATATTTTGTTTAATAATGTTTTTGTTCAGATATTAGCTCTGCAGTAAACACAGCATCTGGTTTGTGGATTATTTTCTTTGTTACTGACCGTGAACATTCAATGCTCACTGTAATGACAACATAGCAAGTAGATGCAGCATGTGTACTTCAGGACAGTGTCTGAACATGACTTGAGGAATTAAGCTGCTTCTCAAAAAACTACAAGAAATATAGAATTCTTTCGGTTTCCATTGCTTTTTTTCCTATGGTCAAAAGCAGTTCTATTGTCAGAAGGTGGTTTGTCATGTTTTAGCATTCTTGTGTAAAGGAATGGAACATGGTATTGTTATAAAGCAGTTGCTCTTAGAGAACTTAAAAGTTGAATGGCAAAGTAGTCATATGAGGAAATGTTTAATATTATGTCTTACAGTTTACTCCTTAAGCAAAAGTAATTTTATAAATACTCTATCTTAGGTGAATTTTTATTTTCTAGCTGTTGTGTTGTAGTAACATAGCACCAGGAGGAATGGTACTTAAGCAAGAAGGTACTGGTCTTGGTTTTTTGATGCATTGCTTTCCAGGAATATTGCACAGTTGATCTGCTCTTGTTTTTATATGAGTTGTCTGGTGCAGTTTGTGGGGAAATAATTATGGGTTAATCATGCAAATTATTTTGAAATTGAAGAGAATATTGTATTCACAATGCCCATTGAAATAACAGTGAAAATGGAGATAAAATTGTTAAGTCCTTGGCTTGAAGGATTAGTTACAGATTTTGACCTTTTGGAAATTTTAGGTTTTTGCTGTACTGAAATTTGACTACCAAGCTGGAGGTAGCTTATGAAGGAGGCAGGTAGGGAATGATAATAAGATGAAGTGGAGGTGTACAGCTTCACAAGGTATCAATTGAAATCTCATAAGATTTCACAGAAGCTGCGTAATTTCATGAATCACATTGGAAAGATGAGTCATATGAACGAACAAACAGTAAAGTTCGATGGCTTAATGATGTGGTGCAGAAATAACAAGGAGGTTATCAGATGACAAGGAAATTGTATAACATTTAAAAAAAAACTTGAGAAGTTTATAGTATATATGCATCTTATGATAAGCAACTGGTATCTTAGTGAGATGGAATATTTTGTCTGAAAACCAGCTAAAAGTGTTCCTTGGCAGTGGTGAAATCAGGAAGATTCAGAGACCTTGCTCTCCTACATAGTTACATTTGTCAATCCACTAGAATTGTGTGCAAGTGAAATAAAATTAAGAAGTTTAGTTACTGGTTTTCCTCTATGAAAAGTGCTATCCTCACTTCATAAATTTTACACAGCATCTTAAGTTTAATAGAGTATTTCTGGTTAGGACTGTGAACTTTGAAGAACACGGCATTTTTAAAATCGTAATCATGGATTATATCAGTGAGGTTGATGCAGAGAAACATAGATGTTGCTGTACTTGGAATATCCTTTGGCTTTGAATCATATTGGAATTTTTTCAGAGGAAGGAGGCCCTTTGGTATTCCAAGCAGGGTTAGCCTGAGTACAGGGTTAAACTAGTGGATAAATGACAGGTTTAAATGCAAGTTAAGGCGTTTAAATTCAAATTCAGCATTTCAGTTTCCTATTTAGTGATTACCTTTGACTGCACTTTTTAAGTAATTCATAACGTGAGAGCCATGTTTTACTAGTGGAAGTATTTCCTTCTGAAATGCATTGAGCTGCACATTTTAAAAAGTTATTTCATATTGTTTGACTCTTGCTTAGAGACATTCGTGTTCCGATTAGTCATTGATGCTTTCTGTTCTTAGTGCTTCTGTCTTTTTTATTTTGATTATAATTCCTCTTTGTAATTTTGCTTTCTTTCATATAAAGGTGTGCTATAACTTAAGTCTAGTTAAGAGTTCCAAAGTAATTGTTTTACTTTTAAAAGTATTTGAAGATCTAATACTTATTTTACTGCCTTTTTTTTTTTTTTAGCAATAATATCTTCTCTGGTTTACATATGTATGTCCTTCCTCATGCATAAATCCAGTCTTCTACAAACTTTTACTCTGCTACAAGTAAAATCTCAATTTTCTGTTTGTGAAACACTGTTTTTCGCTGATTCTACTACAAACATTACGTTCATAATCTTTCTGTCCTTTACATGCTGTTAATAACGAGTGCTTTATCAGCCTCATTATAGTATATGAGACCAACACTGATGACTGCATGTGCTCGCTTCATCAAGTTGGCTGTTGTTTTTATACCATAGAATCATAGAATCACAGAATCACATGGATAAATGGGAAGAAGATAATCCAGAGGGGCAGTAGCTCGCAGAACTGCTTCCTATTTTGAGATGATACAGTATTTTAGGAAGGAAATATTATTAGCTGATTCACTTTATGATTTCTAATGTTTTTAAACTGTAAATAAATTATCAGGTTTTTTTTTTTTCTGAAGTTTTTTGTTGTGTATCTAATTGCATGAGTGTGCAGATCATTTGCTAGATAGAGTTATTAAAAATGTCATGACTGAACACCTGAAACAATAAGTATATGGAGAACAGTCTCTCATGTTCCACATACCATACAGTCTTAAAGCTTGTATGTAGTCTTAAAACTTGGATGAGGTTCCTTGAACCACACAACCTGAAAATGGAAAAGTAAATACTGTGAAACTCCTTGTTATCTATGTGATACCGACAGGACCATACAAAATTTATCATGCCGCTGTGTGTGTGTTGTGATGGGGAGTTAGATTCGGATCTGGTTTTCTTTTCAGTTAAATTAGTTCAGCAATGACTAATGAAGCTCATGTAGTAAGTTACTTGATAATATGGCAAGCAACATTTCACCACGGGAGAAGACTGAATTTGTTTGGTGCTACATATTTATAACAGGCCCTATTGTAAAACTGTTTCTGTGAACCAGGGTTATTATTCAGTGGCTGTTACATACAGGAATACACTACATGATTGGCTCAGAGCATAGGTCTCTGATTTCCCATTTCTGGGGTTTGCCTTTTTTTGTGTGTGTGTGGTTTGTTTGGGGTTTGTGTTGGTGGTGTGTGTTTGTTTGTTTGTTTAACATGCAGCCAAGTGGTTCCATTCCACCTCCCCAAATATCCCAGTCTGATTGCCTCACCTTTTCACTTGGCGTTTAAAAAAATAGAATAAGCAGAGTTATAATTCCAGAATCACACTTAGTTTCTTAGCATTTCAAAATTGTGCTGTTAAAGAGGCATGTCTACTAGCATGTCCATTGAACTAACAGCAGAAGTTTAAACATGTGAGACAGTCTGTTCCTGTTTGTCATGACAGTTCTGCTGTGTGTTTGTGGGTTTATGGCAGGATTGTAAATGGTGTCACCCTTTCTTGAGCATACAAATCCATTGGTTTATTAGTGAAATTTTGTTTATCTGACAATCGTAAAGTTACAACAATCATAATATAACCATAAATTCAGACACATGGAATACTTTCCTGAAGGCTGGAAGTATACTTGAGATAGCAATGTATGCTTCATTTATTTTCATTCTTATTATAATTGAATAAAGGGATGATATTTCTTTACAAAGTTATTCTTTTTTAATTGCTGTTAGTATGAAACTTGAAACATTCAATTATGTGAGCTACAATTTTATCATGTTGCTTGGTCTTCAGCGTTTTTTTTTTATTGTTCTTTTAACAGCAATATCTCTCGGGATCTGAACTATACTTTTAGGTTAGTTCTGTGAGTTTTGTGCATAACTAAGTTTCTTGCTGCCAGTACGACCCAATATTAATATTCTCTAATGTAATACTAAAATATTAGCAGGCCTTAAGTAAAAATAGTAAGTGAAATTTCTTCTGTTTTTAAGGTTTTGGAAGGAGACAAACAACAAAATGAACAATCCAGCCATTAAGAGAATAACAAATGAAATTATCAAATCACCTGAGGATAAACGAGAATATCGTGGACTGGAATTGGCAAATGGCATTAAAGCTCTTCTCATTAGTGACCCTACCACAGATAAGTCTTCAGCAGCACTTGATGTGTACATAGGTATTTAATGCATATTGTGTTCATTATGTCATTAATAAAAGTGCTGTAAGTTTTGGTATCTTAATTGCAAGTAAACTGACAGGAGTGGTATCTGGTTGGCAGGCTAGCCTTTTATTGTCATTTAGAGTTTGTTTAATTCTTTGACAAATCAAGCTGATGATCTTTAAGATGATCTTTAAGGTCCCTTCCAACCCAAACCATTCTAAGTTGAAAATTATTAGAGCTAATTAAATTCTCTTATTGTACTCTGTGTTTACTGAAGTGTAGCTCAGTCAGTAGAAAGACTTCTTTTAACCATTAAGTTTCATGTTATGAAAGATCTTTTGTAAGCAGAAAAGGGGCGGGTGTGAGTGCAAGTATTTCAGACAGCTCCATCTGTCACGTCAGACTTTTTTTTTTTTTAACATGTTAAGTTGTTGATGTGTAGAGGTGAGAAAATGCTCCAGCACTAGCTGGAGGAGTTGAAGAGGCACTCCCTAACTCCAGTGATGCTTAAGTGTGCAAACAGAAATACTGGAAATAGAAGGGCAAGGCAGATACTTTGACTCTTTGGAATAGTGGAAGCCTTTTCTTGTATCTGAGATATTTCTCAAGCTGGTGTAGTTTCTCAGTTGCTTGCAAAATACGATGTATGCATGCATTACCAAAACATCCTCTTGCCGTGTTTGTACTTGGGAGCTCTTGCTGCTGTTGGCGTTAGGACAAAAGTAGTAGAGTAACCTTGAAAACTTCTGTCCTTTTTTGTTATGGAGATGGCTGTCACAAGTAATTATCTAGTTCAGTGGATCCCGAATCTGGTTTTGTTAGGTACTCTGACAGTAATAGCCAGCCGTGGCATCCAGTTCCGCCACATGTTACTTAAGGAGATGTATCTTTTGCCTTCATCTTTACTCTCCCATTGCACATCGTTGAACACTCCAAAGCAGGACTGCCAGACTCAAACATACACATTTCTGCCTTCCATTCTTGCACATTGTTATTGTCTCTTAATCTCTCTGCCTTCACGCCTACTAGCTGGTCATCAATATTTGCTTGTGTTCAGGCAATTACAGGTTATCGCTCATCCTATAAATCACAGGATAAGTACCTCCTTAATTGTGGCTGGCAATTGCTGCCTTTTAACACAGTGTAGTTATTAAAGTTGAGGTATAGAAGTCAGAACACTCTGATCTGCCAGGTCTTTACAGATTATGAGTCATGGACTTCAATTGAAAAATTGTCCCTATAAGGCAATGCAGGCTGATCGGGAGAGGCAATTTGAGACACTAATTGGTTCAGTTACTCATTCTACATTTTAGAATTTTTTTTTTTTTTAGTTCAGGTGACTAGCTGCACAAGTGTCTGCTTACATCTACAGTATTGATATAGTTACCTGAGTCAACATACTGTAATATAAAGCACTTTAAAAATCTTAACATTTTAGTATTACTTTTTATGAATGGTTACTTGAAATTTTTCCTCCTGCAGGATCCTTGTCTGATCCCCCCAACATTGCTGGGCTTAGTCATTTTTGTGAGCATATGCTGTTCTTGGGAACCAAGAAATATCCAAAAGAGAATGAGTATAGCCAGTTTCTTAGTGAACATGCCGGGAGCTCAAATGCTTTCACGAGTGGAGAACATACCAACTACTACTTCGATGTGTCGCATGAACATCTAGAAGGTGCACTAGACAGGTAAACACATGTTTTTATATTTAATTTTTTGTTATATAGGTGCTATTTGAAATTGTGTAAAGAGGTTTTTGGTAGTTTTATCATTATGATATTAAGGAGGAAAGGGTGAGAGCACAATCTTTTGTTAAAACTGATACCAGGTATTTTTCAGTTCAAAAGTTTTGCTCAGATTTTTTAATCTAACAGAGTTCTTCAGGAGACAGAATTCTTGAGGTTCAAAGGTTGCGTTCACACTGAATGTTTTTGGAAATGTGGGCCACAGAATATGATCATGAATTTATGCATTGTACAAATACTCCCAATTGTATCATCAAATACTGTGCTTCCCGTAGCATCATTATTTCATTTATAGCATCAGAAGTATATTAGGATGCCAGTAGTAAAGGGAACTCTCTGAAGTCTCTGCCTTTTGTGGGAGGGGACAGAAACTGAAAGGTGTGTAGTCAGTGAGGTAAAGAGTGGATTTTCCCTGGACATCTGACAAGGCTGATTTGAATTGCAAGATTAAGAGGCTTCAAAACAGTAGAAATTTTCAGCATGTAAATTATGATGCAGGGTCCTTGATCCTTGTAGTACCTTACATGATGAATATGTTATTTGTCTGCATTTATAGATAAAGAAATTGAGAAGTAAAGATAGTGAATCAGTGACAAAACTATTACAGAGTTTATAAGTTCTGTATTAAGAAGTTATGTATTCAGCTGTTTTCACAAGGTACCAATCTTCATACTTTTCTGTTACCATTTATGTACAGTACTCTTGAATTAAAATTTTTCTGTTCAGATTTGCCCAGTTTTTCCTGTGCCCTTTGTTTGATGAAAGCTGCAAAGACAGGGAAGTGAATGCTGTGGATTCTGAGCATGAGAAGAATCTGATGAATGATGCCTGGAGGCTGTTTCAGTTGGAGAAGGCTACTGGAAACCCCAATCATCCCTTCAGTAAATTTGGAACAGGTTTGTCAGAATATAATTATTCATCCATTGGAGTTCTGTATAACATACGTAGTATTGTTCATGTAAAATTGTTACCGACAGACTGAAACAATTCCCTTTTTTTCGTCTGCATACATGTTTATTATGGTGCTTTATGACATTTTCCACATCACAGACCAAACAGAGCTAGACAAAAACATAGGAAACAGAGTGATCTAAGACTTGCAGTACAGCGATGAAGCATCCTTTATGATTCTGATAATTACTGCAGTGAATGCTGTTTTCCAATTACTGGATTTGTCATAATTTGGTACTGTCAAGTCTTCGTGCATAACAAAGTGACTGAACTGTGTTGCTAGCCACATGCTCCTTTTGCTAACTAGTATTGCATTAGGACTAGATGACAGTGACTAGGTCGAGTCTCAAAGATCAGCAAAGTAATGTGAAAATTACTGAGTAAGGATATAAAACCAAAATCTTAAGCATCAAAACACAACAGTAGTAGATGGATATATAAAATGGTCTTCTTGGACAAATCCTAAACTTACAGCTGTAGTTTTTGGGTTTTTTTTCCAGCCTTTATTATTCACAGAATGCTTAGTAACAATTTAAAATAGACACCCCAAAGCCTCAATTTAAAAAGCATTTAAGTAAGATACCATAGTTACAGTCAAAACCACACATTTGATGCTTTGCCTTAAGTTTAATTTTTTTTTTAATAGAAGTTATTTTCTACACAAATTTATTTTTTAAACTATGTAAGTAACAAGGCTGTTAATTAATTCGCAGCACTGTTTAATCCTTGAGCATGGATGTGTTTTGTGGCCGGGTCACTTTGCTGGATGAATAGTTGATGCAAATATTTGGTACAGTAGGATGGTGGGAGGGCAGATAATGGACTTTAAAGACTGGTTTCTTCATCTTTCTCAAGAAAGAGAAGAATATTTTTGCACCTTTTGATGGAGGGCATAGTTGAAAGGCCGGTAGCTAGCTGCTACAAGAGCATGTGTTTCTCTGTTCAATAAAGAGAGGCTGTCTGAAACAAGGCAGCCATAACTGCATTCTCAAAACAGGTGAATTTGAAAATAAAGTCTTGAGAAATACATATTGATGGGCAGGCAAGCATCCAAAGTCCATTCTGTAATCTCTGCTATTGAAGAGATTATTTAATTTTTATATAGCACTCAGAAAACGTAAGTGGAAGCTGCAGAAATAGTTTTCTACAATTTAAGAAGTTTTTATAGCTGACACAAGTGAATTTTTTTCATGGGGAGAATACCTGAAAGGTGCTTGAATTTAATAGCAGTAGTCATACTCACCTCTTCTTAGATTAGACTCTGATGCTGAAATTAAGTTATAGCACATAGCCATCCTGTGGATCTGACTGCAGAAGTAGAGCCCAGCTTTGATGGTTTTTATTTACCTGAAGAGGTGACAACCGTGGTATGGTTTTCATGACAGTTGCAGTTGGCATCCTTCTTATCATTTCCTTTTGGCCAGCTGAGGTGTTGTTAGTCTAGCACAATACAGGAATGTCTCCCATTTGATGCTTTGGGTCACTCCTTGTTGCTGTACAGCCCGTTTTGCCAGCAAACTTTCTATTACTCTTTGTCTGTCCAAAGAAATAAATGCACCTTAATGTTCCAGTTTTCTTGCTAGGATGTGCATTTTATACCCATATACCCTTTACACATCTCCCTGAATTAATGCCTATGGTGGTGATTCTTCTTCATCAGTACCCTCAACAGTGTGAAATACGTTCCCAGGCACTTGCACTGTCTAGTGTCCTTTTCCTTTTCCTACATCTGCAAGTTGTCTTCTGACTGTTGTGTCTTAATGCACTCCAGTTCTGTAACAGCACAGTTACTAAGGTAAAGCTTTAGCTTTATTTTATTTTATTTTATTTATTTTATTTTATTTTTATGTATTCTGTGGGAATGAACACAGTAGGGTATCTAAAACTTCTGTGTTTCATTTGTCTGCAGGCGGTGAGGAATATAGACAAAGTATTTTAAACATGATACCCTAATTATCTTTTCTAGGTGTCATTAAGAATCCTTGCTTTTATTCACATGTGAACTTTGAAAACTAAAGCAATATATTGCTTCAGGAAGCTTCTCTATGATGATTTGTTGACTGTTGTGGTTGTAATTAGACTTGTATCTAATCACCAAACATCTGGACAATATATTTGTCTTATTTATGTAGCTAATTTTACCTCAGTGATTTGTATTAACTTGTATCTATGATTGCAGGCTTTGTGCACTGGGCATGTATGCATAGCAGGCATGCTCTCCCAGTCTTTTCTCTCTTGCTGTTTTCCTGTAAACATACAAGTCAACTTTTCCTGCTACATTTTCTTGCCTTATTGTTTCTTCTTGTCCCTTGCTCTCTTCTCAACCTGGTCTGGTTGTGGTTTAAGGGAGTTAGTGATCTCAGAGCTAAAAGATAGCATATTAGTTTGCAGTTCTGGTCTGTAGATTCTGTTGACCATTTCATGTGTCCATGTAGTAATGGGAAGTGGAGTTGAAAATCCAGTGCGCTCTTCGTAGACTGTAATTTTTCCGTTGTTTCAAGTTCTTACGTTAACTAAATATGACTTCTGCTTTGACTGTAAATGTGGAGTATGTCCTTAGTATGGTCCTTTACACCATCCTTTACAAGGATGTAAAGGTTTCATTAATAAACAGGAGGATAACAATGGAGAAAGTTTGGTATCTTCTGCTTATGGGCTTGTTCAGGGAGAGTTGTAGTTCTCTTCTTCTCTAGTCCGGTTCCTCTACTGCAGCAGTAGCTCAGATGTTTGTAAAGCGGAAGCTGAACAGTCACAACTTACAAATCATGTTTGTAAATTAGTAATTATTTGTTTCTTCTAATATACTAGGCTGTAGTTTATGGCACACAATGCTACAAATAATTTCACACAGTAATTCCTGTGACAGGAATGTGTATATGAGAGTAAAACCTACTCCAAATGTGCCCAAGGAAAACCTTTTTCTTCTGAATTAGAACCTGGGCTAACTTGCATTGCTTTGAAATAACCCATTCATATTAAAAAGATTAATTTGGAAGAGTAAAACATCCTTCATTCTTTAGGCATGTGCAGATTGAAGGTGGAATTATTTATTGTCTCTGATAAGCTGGGACAGTATTGATCCAGTTTACTTATTATGCATAGTAATTGTTTTTAAAATTACTATCCATCTGAGGGAAAGCAGATATATTAATTTATATTTTTCTTTTTGATTGGTAAATCCATAAACATCAGGTATTGGTAACTTTTTTTTTATGTTACAGGGAACAAATTCACTCTGGAAACTAGACCAACCAAAGAAGGAATAGATGTAAGACAAGAGCTATTAAAGTTCCATTCTACTTACTATTCATCAAATTTAATGGCTATTTGTGTCTTAGGAAGAGGTGAGTTTTGTTCTGTTGCTTGAGTAAGGCTTTGCATGTATTTATGTTTGAAGAAAAGGAGGTGTATGCAAGTGTCTGAAAATGTACAGAAGAGAAAAAACGTAAAACTTGTATGGTGTGACTGAACATAGTTTTACATTTAGTGAAGTCTCCAAAGCAACTTACAAAGTGTAAATTTGTGTGTTTATGAGCTTACAATAGAAAAAAGATGAAAATTTAAAATCCATTATCAAGTCACCAGTTGCAGTCTGGTTTGAATTTAATAGCAGTAGTCATACTCACCTCTTCTTAGATTAGACTCTGATGCTGAAATTAAGTTATAGCACATAGCCTTCCTGTGGATCTGACTGCAGAAGACTTTGCCTTACAAAGACTAACACCTGTCTGCTTTCAGATGTTGGGAGGGCTTTTGATACTGTTTTCATGTTTTACTTATACTTCTACTACACAAATTTCTGTATTGTCAAAGGATAAACCTAACCTAACTTTTAGGTAAAAAGTCTTTACTTCTGAATTAACATAACAGAGGTTCCAAATGCTTAAAATCTTCCCCAGTCGAAGTGATATTTTTACGTAGGTTTGCCAAAAACTTAATAACAGTGTGTTGAAAACTGTTTGCTTTTTGGAAATATGCTGTCAGACTGGTATTTGTGTGGTGTTTTACGGTAGTGTTTGGATGGGTGAGCATGAGTGGAATCAAATTCATTGTCAAAGTGAAGTCTTCCTTTACAGTTACCTGTTTACAGAATGCTAAGTAAGAAGCTGATGAACAAAATGTACCTGTTTAATTTAAATTATAGCATACACAGGAATAATTTTTTCTTGTAGATTTTTAGGGTGGGCAAACAACGGATTATACTTTGTAACTGAATCCAAGCTTTGTGAGTGTACTCCCTACCGCATCAGTTCCAGGCTCCCTAATTCTTTTCAGTTCAATTAATTATTACAATCTCACCTGCTGTAACATCACATATTGATTAGAATATGATGAAAGTGGGTTTTTTTCACTGTTGCAAACTAAACAGAAAAATGTATTAGGTTAGTTGTTGTTTTTTTGTTTTTTTTTTTTTTTTAAAGGTGGGGTAGAAGATGTGCTAATAGTAGGTATGTAGGTAATACCACTAGGACTTAATGTATGTCATATGTGAAAATGCCTTACGTATTCCCCTGGTAGCAGTGGAAACTTTCTGCAAGTAAACACTGTAATATTGATGAAGATAGCTTGCAAATATTTTTTCAAGATTGTGAATTTGTTGCTATTTGAAAGAGGTGCTTCACCCTTCTTAGTTTTTTTTCTCTTCTGTAGATTTTACCTGAGCAAAATAAAAAACTTCTATTTTCTTTAAAAATATGTATTTATTAATTGAAGGCAAATAGATATCGATCAGAGTTTAAAACAACTGAATTAAAATTCACTTCCTCATTTAACAGTTTTGTTTTCAAGATTTCCAGACTTTTTTTTTTTTTTTTAACTATTTCTTTACCAGACAGGCAATACTTCAGGACAGGCAAGATCTGCATTTTAAATATCAATAAAATGTAGAAAATAGTTTTAAAATCTGTTAACCTTTCAGACATTTCTGCAATTTGCACATATGTATTTTTTTTACTACAAAATACAAAAATCATTCTTGTTAAAATCCTAAATTTGGGTGGTTTAACTAGTTATTTTCCACAGTGAAATTCTTTCAGCTGGAGTTGCCCTTGCAAATAGTTCAATATTTGGAGAAATTAGGAGCCTTTGAAACATGAATCTGTGGGATTTTTCCTTTCAGTCTTATAAATAAATGCATTTTTTGAAAGGTAACTCAGACTTTTTGTTAGTCTGCTTGCGTACAAAATGCCATACAGCTACCCTTATTTGTCATATTTAAGTAAGTAGTTGTCACTCTAATAGTGAGGTGCTATTTGGACAAAAGTTGCATCTTATTTTCCTTGAAAAGACACATACCTTTTTTCACTGCTATTTATTCAAGCAGAAGAATTATGCAATTGCTTTCCAGAAGGCTTTATATTAATGACTGATTTGTTTATTTGAGGGCTTGCCTCTAGCATCAAATTTGAAAATTTACAAGTTCCGTATTCTTCCTGATTTTTTAGTTTTGATTTTCAGGGAGCTCTATCCATAAAAAGTAAACTGCAGAAAACAGACCTTGTTAGCATCATTCTGTAAATTCTTAGCTGAAGTACCTTGCTATCAATGTAGCAGTACCGTAATTAATACATAAATAGTTAGAAATCCTATAAAATATGTTGAGTTGCACACTACAAGTCCCCCATGATCTCTCTATTCTTGTGCATTCTGAAATAAATGGATGTCTAAAGCTATGTGCAGCCTAGTAATTCTCTGATTTTCCCACTATTTTATATATGTAATGTAAAACAAATAAAGATGTATGTCAGTAAAAAGTAGTAGGGGAATAATCAGAATATAATTTTTCCAGTAAATAGTAATAATTATTCAAAAGTTTGCTAAAATTAAATAATTAAACTAATTTTTTTAATCTAATAGCAAAATTCACTAATCATAGAACAGTTTTAGTGCAGCAGTTGACATACAGACTTTTAAATGGCAACCTTTTCAGTAAGAATCACCCTGGCAACTGGAAATCTATCCTAAAGAAAACCCTCAATGTAGTAGTTAAATGAGTGTGTATTTTGCTCACATGGATAAAAAATAGTGTTCTTTAATAGAATTACATGCAGTTGCAGAATTCTGTTATACAGTGACACGTATTGGTTGTCATTGTCTTGTTTTGTCTTGTTTTTCCCTGCATGGTTCTCAGTGTATTGTAGGAGCATGCGTGCACATCTTGGACAGTAAAGATTCTGCTTTCTGAATCTTAACTGGGATTGTTTTGACAAACAACGTGACCGCTTTTTGAAATCTTCCAAGGATTAAGGTTGTACTTAGAGACATCCAAGAAATCCCCAGTTTTTTCTTCAACACCCACACCTGAAAGGCATGCGCTAAGAAACTTGATGTATGAGTCTTTCTTGTCTTATTCTCACTTTGAGAAGTGCTCCAAAATGCATTTCTCTAAGCAGATAGCTGTTTTGAAGGCAGTATTTCAACATAAATCGTGTAGGTCAATTGATGTGAATTCATGCACAACATCAAATTCTTTCCACAAATGGTCTTAGAATGCTTTTGGAGAGTACCAGAGTCATGAACTGAAACTAGAGTAGATGTAAAAGTAGAAGTGCTTAAACAGGTCACAGATGTGTCTGAAATTTTGGGGTGCAGTAGGACAGATGACCCTGTCGTGTCTCATAGTGTACGTGAAGTACTGGTGGTAAGCTGAGGCTGAAGAAAGTCCGAGTCTTGCAAAGATGTTTTCACTTTGTAAAACTTGCAGCTGTAATTCCATGTCCCTTAAGCTTTTGTGGAATCTTTATTTTTGTAAATGTTCAATATCTTATCTGTCTGTTCTTTAGTTCCAGCTTGGATTAATCAGTAAAATTTAAAGATGTTGTTTCTGGCTACAGGATTTATTTTAATTTTGGCTGAAGCCTTTCTTTAATAAGCATGGTGCTTATAACATGTATAGTTTGAAACTTAATATAGATCTCTTTTCTGAAATAAATAATCATCATGCCGTTAAAACTGCTTTTCTATATAATTCATAGAATATGAATATATCTTCCCCAAAGAATACACAAAATCGAAATTTGCCAGAATCTTCAGATAATGATTATGCCTTTTCCAATGTTTCTTTATTCTAGAATCCTTGGATGAGCTGACTTGCTTAGTGGCCAAGTTATTTTCAGAAGTAGAGAATAAAAATGTCCCTATACCAGAGTTTCCTGAACATCCTTTCCAAGAGGAACATCTCCGGGTATGTTTAGAGATACATGTTCCATCAGGAGTGTGTAACTTCAATGATATTTTTTATGTTTCAGTAATACATTGTGCTATTCATTACTTTAGTGTCAGTGTCATTGTTAAGTTCCATATTTCTGTCTTAATTTTCCACCCACTGTTCGTGCTGAGTATACTGTAGTTTTGTATGGTTTATAGTAAAGGTTGTATGCTTGGTAGCAGCTGTGAGAAACTGAGAGATAGTTAATTCTCTTTTGTTTTCGTCATGAATGGCTAAAGTGTTATGCTAAGTTTTACATACCTTTACTTTTGAGATTTTGTTGGTACATTTGTAATGAAATGTGTGATTGTGGAGGGAACATGATATGTGCTCCTGAGATGAATAAAATAATGAGAGTTTCCTTTTGTTTATGGTTCTTCTTACTTTCCTCCTCAGCAACTTTACAAAGTGGTACCTATTAAGGACATTAGAAATCTTTATGTCACATTTCCTATACCAGACCTTCAGAAGTACTATAAATCAAACCCTGGCCATTACCTTGGTCACCTGATTGGGCATGAAGGCCCAGGGAGTCTTTTATCAGAGCTTAAAGCCAAAGGTAAGTCCTTTGAAGGTAAAGAATTAAAAAGTAATTTATTACACAATTTTTTAAAGCTTAGCCATGTTTCACTTTAGATTGGCCTCTGTATGTTAAAGCCCCAAACTGTTTGAGTAACTTGGAGTTGTAAGTCATTTTGCATTTTATTTTTGTTAAATAAATAAATAACAGGCATTCCCTACAGAAGCTATTATTTCTTGCACTCCCCTTAATCTACCACTGTTCAAATGGTTATATGAACTTTGGCATAATGATGTTGTCTCTATTCTGTCACTGACTGAGAGACTACTACCAGGTCTTTTAATGTCTGGAAGACTACAAGAGTGTATCTTTCACTATTTTCCTTTATATTACTGTGTTCCAAACAGAGATAAATTACCCAGTAATCAAATGATCTTGAGTTTGTCATATCACTCTGAGCATAAAATCAGATAGGTCTGATTTGGGTTATGTTTAACTTGCCATGTTGCTGTGGGTGTTAAGGAAGAGAAGGAGAACATGTAAAGTAGTCAAATGTAAAAAAAAAACACCCCACAAACAAAAAAAAACCATTTAATGTTGCTGAAGCATAAAAGAAGTAGCATACATTGTTACAGATTTGTTTATGTAATGTATTTTGTTTTTGATTTCATAGGATGGGTAAATACTCTTGTGGGAGGACAGAAGGAAGGTGCTAGAGGTTTCATGTTTTTCATCATTAATGTGGACTTGACAGAGGAAGGACTTTGTAAGTGAAGGACTGTGACTGCATTTTATATTATTCCTGATCTGATGGGTTTATGTTTGTATCCAAAGAGATAATTGTGTTTATGGCTTGAAAGCCAATTTATTTTAATTAACTGGTTATTCTTCTGTGTTTAGATTCTCTCAGGATGCTAACACACTTCATCTAACATAATAAACCAATTTATTTGAGGTTATATTAAATTAAAGTATTTAATTAAATATTTTAAAGTAAGTTTCTTTAAAAGAAAAGCTGTTGATACATTTGTGTGCTACTTATTCATACTATTTAGACCTGATTTGTATTATAAATCAACATCTTAACATAAGACCTTCAGTGCAATTCTCAGAATTAGCTGGGGACATAAACACTTAAATTAATGTCTGAGAAAAAAACATGTTTACCTTTTTCAGTGGGATTGCATGTGTACTTAAATATCTTAATATATCAGGGTGTAATTAAAAGTAGAACCATACATGTTTGTGTTCATCACAATCTTTTCTTTGTGCAGAACTGAGTGAATTATTAAGCAAGTATTTTTTTCTTTCCAGTGCACGTTGAAGATATTATTTTGCACATGTTTCAATATATTCAAAAGCTACGTACAGAAGGACCTCAAGAATGGGTTTTCCAAGAGTGCAAGGTACAGTGATTGGTATTTGAAATATGTGGTGGTTGTATTTTTACAAATTTTTGCATTGTAAGTAGAAACAGATTCCTTGGCTGTGGGAATAGCCTTTAATAATTGCACGATAATGAAGTTTATTAAGGTGCAACACAACACAAATGACAAGTACATTCAGAATGTATTCTCTTAATGTAGATGTGAATTGCACTTAGCAAGCTGTGAGTTGACATTTTATGATGACATATGGAGGTGGAGGAAGAAGTATCTTACTCTGTCTGCAGGGATTTTGCACAACCTTACTTAGTCTTTGCCGAAGGTGGAGGGGGAAAAAGCATTTGCTGTGAGGGGTAACATTGAACAGGAAATTGAAATGGCTGTTATTCTTCCCCTGTCGTCTTTCATGTGTCAAATTGAATAGTTGAGATTGTAAAGGCAAGATTGTAAAGGCAATAGGACATTTAATCTGCTGTTTGTTCTCTGACCTTTTTGAGAGGTGAACTAAAACTTTTAATGGAGTGCTTTGGCTGAGCACTTCATTTTTTGCTGAATGTTTCTTTTCTGTTCATGCTTCTTTTCTGCGTGCACAGAGCAAAAACGTGAAGTATCCTATTAGAGTTAAACAGTACTGCACTTCTCAGTGATAATGTGAAATAAAAAATTTTGTTTATACATGGAGTCTCACTGGTTCACTACAAATACTTGTGTAGATTCTTGTTCCGTCTTAGCTTTATTTGGCGAAAACTGTTGAGTCTTTTCTGCCTAGGAGTCAAAATTCTCCAAGTGCGTTAACTTTGTTTCTTGCATTTTGACACTATATCTGTAAAAGAAGTGTCTTTTCCATTGGGACTCTTAGCAGACGGTATTGTATCTCTGTCATTGTAAGCAAATACAAGATTTGGAAGAGGTAGTTCCATCCTCCCATCCCATCCCTGTGTCTTTCCCTTGCTCCTTTTTTATCAGCCTTGGTACTTCAGAGACTGAGGTGAGTCAGAAGAGCTGGGAACTAGTTGAAAATAATCTTCTTTTGAGTTTATTCTCAGCTGAATTGTTGAATTAATCAGACTCTCTGCATGTTTCACAGATGGATGAACTGTCCTTTTCATTGGCTTTACAGTCTTAGATCTCTTTAATTCGCCATTGTATTCTAAGAATGATGTGTCCTATTTCTGGGGCTAAGGCAGCATAAAGAAACACGCTTTTTCTGTCTCTAAACTTACTTTTTGGCTGTCTGAACAAAAGGAACAAAAAAGGAAGTGGGAAATTCATTAACATACAACGGACATTGCACTGGAACACTGTCCACTGATTGTATCGAAGTTGGTGTGATTTCATATTATCTGGAAATATAAATACATGAGCTATGGGACAGCTCTCTTACTACAAACAGGACTTAAAAGACTTGTATAACAATTGACATTGTGAGACTATCCAAAATTGCTTTTGAGTTTTGTGCAACTTGAATATTACTGAAAACTTTTGTGTTAGGTACCCTAAGTACTATAAAATGAATACAAGAAAACTTCATTTTATTACGTTATAAAAAGGAATTAAGTAGCCAATAACTATTTTTAAAATAGTGTTTAATGTATGCTCTTAAATCCTTCCTACGTTGTTTCATAGGATCTAAATGCTGTGGCATTCAGATTTAAAGATAAAGAACGACCACGAGGTTATACATCAAAGCTTGGAGGAATGTTGCACGTAAGTGTAGGGGGTTTGGTTGGTTGGTTTTGTTTTTTGTTTTTTTTTTACAATACAGTAATCACTTAGCAGTATGTTTGATTATACTTAGTAAATAACAGGTATTTGCAAAGGTCCTTTACACTTCTATGCTGCATAGATCTTAGTTTTGGCAGCCAGTAAGTTACGTTTCCTTCACTCTTTACCATTTTATACTTCCATACTTGGTAGAACTGAGTTTTCCATAACTGGAGTTGCTATTTGATCTGTTTCAGTATTTTTTAAGACGTATGTACCCTGTCATTCTGTGTCTGCCTGATAGCTAAATGTTCTCTAGGGAAACATTAGAGAAATATATCTTACCATAAACACAAACACTATGTTTCTAAATGCTTCCATAGTTAACAATGTTGAAATACTGCTGTAAGCAGAAATTTTGGTACTAAGATAACAATTTAGAAATGTTTGACTCTACTAATGTGATTACATATTGGTACTGAAAGAATCAACTTGTAGCTTATACTTAGTCTTTTTACTTCTTGCAAAATTTGGTTCCCTCATTTTGCACTAAAGGAAGATTTAGGTGGGGTTTTTTTGTCTAGTGAAATTCATGCAGCCATTCTCCGTTGCATGGCTAATGTCTGTATCTACTCAGAGGCATTTTTGGTTTCTTTGCAAGAATTTCTGTTAATGCTTCTACACCTTTAATTTGTAAAGGCTAAAATGATGATCTTTAAAATTGTCTCTCTGTTTACTAAAAAACATTAGACTTAACTGAAAACATTTAAATGGGTATTTAAAGGAGCTCCTGTTTGGGATGCTATCTCTTGCTTTTGTGCTGTCAAATGCATAAAATCTCTCTAGCAAAGGGACTTCTGACTTCTGAAACAGTCTTTCAGTGGTTTGTATTTGTTGCATCATTCGCAATTACAATTGCTGTCTCCAAAAATCAGGCCAGGAAGTTGCCAGCAGTGTTCCAAAGAGCTGGGTATTGATTCAGGACTCTTTTTTTTTCACTGCTTTGCTTCTGCTGTGCTTTGCAGCATGAATGGTAATTCTGATTCTGCTGTTAGTTGCTTAAACACTAATAGAAAAGTAGCTTTTATAGTTTTCTTTATTGCCTCTGAGTCATACTAAGTTTATGCTTTGAATTAACCAAGCTAGAACTGTTGTTTGGTGATTTCATGCACTTATGAATGCTGGCAGTTTTTCATAACTTGGAGAAGAATCTGTGTATAAGTTAGCATAAGTAAATGTAATGTCATCAGTTTTTATGTATTTACCAAAAGGATTTAAAAAACCTTTTTGTTCACCATAACAGATGTTGATCTTTAAAGCACATTTATGCTGATTTAAGGAGTTACCACTAAAGTCTTGCTCTCAAATTATATTTTGTATTTGTCATGTGTAGGCTTGATGTTTTCCAGGTAGTTGTTTCCTGGTTTGCAGTGCCCTTTTTTTTTTGTTTTGTTCTGTCTCCTTAATTGTATCACTTTAAAAATTTTGTTTTAATCTGATTATTGTACGTAGATTGCTTTAGTCTGTTTTATTTTGGTTACATTGTGCTCTGACTTTGCTGAAAAGTAATCACAGAATCACAAAATAGTTGAGGTTGACTGGACCTCTGGAGGTCTTCTTGTCCAACGCTCCTGCTCAAGCAATACAAAAATAACAAAGTAACCAAGTAAATTTTATGTTCAATTCCAGTTGGTGGGCAGACTGCGGCCTGTGTTTGTAAAGGAAATAAAGTGTAGGTCACTGAAGCTGTATTGCCTTGGTAAATTCAGATTAGAAGTGCATAGGTTACTTAAAATCCCCCCTACAGGTTGCTCAGTCTGCTTAGCCATTTGTGCAGAATGTAGTTGTACAAGACCTTTCAAATTCTGGCATTCACATTTGAGTTTTTTGTAACACAGGTTTAGTTTGTCCCTGGTCTCCACGCCCACCCACCACCACCACCGCACCCTTTCTCTCTTCCAAAATTGTTTGTGTGAGTTACTCTGTGTTCTGGAATTCGTTCCAGTGTAGTTTTTTGTATAGTGTATGTAATTCAGAAAGTCTTTTTATAATAATTCTGATCAAAAAACGTACACCCCTATAGCAAACTGCAAGTACTCGGTGCTTAGGTCACCTGGTATTTTCCCTTGGTAAACAGTTTATCAAGATTTCCTGTCAACCACAACAGTAATTTTCAGAGGAATTTTAACTGTTTTTTTCTTCTTAAGTTGCAGTGTACCTTAAGAGACTTTCAGTTTGATCCTAAACAAAAAAATGTTAGAACTAAAATTGTGTAAATTTGTGTTATGCTTTTAGATGATTGAAATATACTTTCCTTTATAAATAAATTGAATTCTTAGAGAATAAAAATTGAATTCTTAGAGAATCCTAAAAAACTTTGTGGGTTGTTTTGTTTTGGTTTGTTTTTCCCAAATGAACTCTAGTGAGTACTTGGTGTTCTTTTTTATCTTTAGAAATATCCTCCAGGGGTCAGCATTTACCATGTTATTTTTTACTTTAATTACTTCAAAACAGTGTTTAAAGGTAGGTGACTTTTTGTATTGAGACATAAAGCATTTCAAGAGAAAAGAATGGTAATATGTAGTATGTGAAATTACCTAATATAGGAGAAATATGATGGCATAGTTAGAGTACTACTCCATCTTACTTAGATTTTAAGACATCTGTGCACTTATAATTTGAAATTACCAAGGTAGTACAGTTTTTATTACCAGAAATACACACTTTTATTTCCTTTACAAAACAGTAGTTTTTTCATGCTTAGTTTTTGTTTAATTTATTTACATGTTTCTGGGCTTTGTTTTTAGTATTATCCTATAGAAGAAGTACTGGCTGCTGAATATTTGCTTGAAGAATTCAGACCTGATTTAATAGAGATGGTACTGGATAAACTGCGACCAGAAAATGTTCGGTAAGTTACACTGAAATAACTTGTATTTTAACCCAAACTTTATAAGAAAGCAGATAAACTGATGGAAACACAAATTCTTAGGAGTGTCTTACAGCTCCAAAGTAAATGTCACTGAAAAAGAGCTGTGGAAAAGCTGTCTGTGGAAGAGACATTTTAATAATTCTGTTTACTTAGAGAAAGAGGTGAATATTGGAAAGAGAAGAAGTCAGGTCATGCATTGAGCAAAACATACAAAATATTGAATAACTGTTTCTTAATTATTCTGTGCACTGAACAGGGCAGAGGTTCAGTAGGAAAATATATAAATTTGTGTATATATTTATATGCATATATAACATGGCACAATCTTAATTGCGAGAAGATTGCATGGGCAACAGTTATGCTAGCACTTTGGAGCTGGAATGATCTTCCCCCCCCCCCCCAATTTGGTTCTCTTAATATATCTTTTGTGTATATTGTACCAAGTTGTAATATTAAATGTTAAAATGTATGAAAACATAGAAACAAGCTCTTGCTTGTGATTCTGTGTATCAGTCTTACTGTATTTGAGCAACTGTTTTGGAAGCCAGGTGTATGATACAAAAAATAAATTTTTTTTTGAGGGTCTGTTTTGAAATATGTTCCACACTGAAATTTTCAGACAGTGTTGGATATAGAAGGATGGTGAGGCGTGGATTCATATATTTCTGGAGTTTATATATTTCAGCATTCTGAAATTACTGTGAATGACTTAAAAGCTTGGGCACAGATCTTCACTAGTTTGTTTATATGACAAAATCTGTCTTGTGTATTACTTTAGTTTAAGATGCGTGTTACCTTATTTTCAAAGGATGGTCTATTTCAAATAATTATTGGATAAAATAGGATAAAGTTGGCTTATGAACTGTATTTGCAAATGTCATGGGGTTCTGATGTTTCTAGGGGTATACAAGTAATGATAAAATAAATGGAGCTGCCTTATGTCAGTGACAGAAGTTGCCATAGTAATTAATGCCCTTTAAACAAGGGCCTATATGTTTGTGTGGGGGTGTGCGTCTGTATGTAATGTGTGTGGGATACTGCAACTGAAGCTTGGATATTTTGAGAGATCATATTTTGAACAAAAAGTACTTGAAAGAAAATTTCCAGGTTCTCTTTCCTGTGTTAAATACTTCTATTTTGAACGTATTTTCTTGTTGATCTACTACCCACCTTCTTGCAAATTTGTTATAAGAGCTTTCCATTAACATAAAGACTGGTTTTAGTATTTAACAGAGATACTATGTGATTACTTCTTCTCTGAAGAAGGATTAATAAAATTCCACATGAATTTGAACTTTTAGCTGGTTTTAGAATTGTTTACAGGCCATAAATAAACCATTTTTTATACTGCTTTAGTAAACAAGCTACAGGTGCTTAATCAGATCTGAGGTTTGTTATAGCATCACGTAGCTTGAAAATGTGTCTCTTAACATTGCAAGAAAACAGACAGTACTGTCTTAGGGGAGTATACCTTTCATAATTTAAGTTGGTCTTTAGCCACAGAACTTCCAAAGCATCTGCTTGCTTAGATTTTCAAAAATTGCTAGAGGAAATTCATGTATGTAAACGCATTCGTAGACTCTTTAAGCTTATCAGATGCTGCTGGATGCCACACACCACTCATCGGCTTTCTGCATTACTCCTGTTGCTGCCTCTGCCAGCCTTTTGACTCTCCCTTCCAATTGAGAGTACTTCAGCATTAAATTGCCATAATTAACCTTGTTCAAAAGTTGTTAGTGTGAGAAAAGAAAGTGTAGAAAATACTGATAGAGGAGGAAATTCAGGTCTATAGAATGTGGTTAGAAGCACAGGAATAGTGGTGACAATTTTTAGAAGAATTTAGAAAGTTCCGTGGTGTGCTTTTTTCAGATGTGTAGTAAACAGCCATTTCACAATGTTCTTTTATTGTAGTTAGTATAAGCCTGTATTTGCACTTGCAGTTGCAATTCTGCATTCCTTGTTGTCCTCGGGTTGAAAAAAATAACGGGAATAAAAGAGCAAGATGAGCAAGATTCTTATTCAAGAGAGAGGAAAAAGTAATCCTAAAAAACTACAGAATTTAGCTGTAACTTACTTGAAATGTTAGTAACCAAATAAAGTAATTGTTTACTAGTACATGTGTCTTTTACCAGGTGTCTTTTACTTATAGTAATTTTGTAGGGTTACATCAGTCTTCTCACATTTGACAAAGTGATTTGCTGGAGATGGGAATATTCTCTACACTTGGTTATTGTGGATTAATATTAAATAATAAAATGATTTTTTTTTCAAGATGGAACACATCTAGAGCAAATACCAACTGAAGATGCTCTAGTATTTGAAGCAACTGGGAAGCATTGGTTGTTCAGATAATGGAGATAGTTGTTTCATCTCAGCTTTTCAAATTCAGTCTATTTTGAGTGCTTTGTATGTGACTTTTGAAGCAGCAAAGAATAGTACATTTGGACTGGAGAGATGCCATCGTGGGGGTGTCTTGGAAACGAAATTTGATATAATCAGTATACTTTTCTGTACAAGAAGGTCTCAGAGTTTTCGTAATGGAAGAGTGATGGTGACATGGTGACTGAATCAAGAAAACTTGTGATCAGAGAGGGATAGTCATCTAGTAACCTCTGTGGATTTGGGTCTCCATGTAATCTTGGACTTTAAATGTCTTCTGTCATACCCTGCCTCCTTCTAGCTTGTTGTTACTGTGCGTGGTTTTTGGATTCTGAAAGAAGTATATTGTGTTTAAGCTTCCCTCAAAGCTAACCACATTGTCTCTTCACTTTACCTGACTTAAGAAATCGTTTATAGTAATTATGTAATTTTAAGCATTTGAATAAAAAGCTAAATATTGGGCATTAAAGGGACTTTCAAACTGGAATATATATGGGTTTATGGCCTCTTCAGTTTAAAGTTAAAAGAAGTGTATTATTTTTGTTGCAGAGATTTTAGTAGGGCTTAGATAGTAAATACAAGTAGGTTAGCTCTCTGAAGCTTAAATACACGCAGCTATGCCTACACCTGTCCTGTTAAGGCTTAAATATAAATACATACAAACTAGAGAGTGCCCAAAGACTGATCAGATGCAGTTCTGACAGTGGAATTCATCAAAGCACTGATATTCTAACATGGATCAAATGAGGCCTGCAGGAGGCCTATAATGGTGTAGCAGCAGGCACACTTTGAAGTTGAGTGTTATATGGTCAGAGTAACGGTAAATGTATTGCTTATTATGTGTAGACTAAAACCATGCTAATGTTTGCTATTGCCATAACAACTGTACATTCTCGTCTTAGTTCTCTTTATGTTCAGGGTATTTGTCTTCTACAGAACTATAACCTTTAAAAAGAGACCCAAAACATCAAACCAAATTTAAGATTCTTAAGTGTTGTGTTGCTTTTTCCTGCTTCTGTGAATGATGCAGTTTTTCAGTGTAGGCTCAGAAGTTACAGTTGTGCTGCTATGTACCTTCTGTGATAATATTGCAAGCTGATTTTTCTCAGATGTAAAAACATGAATACTTTCAATATTAGTGGGAATTAAATGTTTTTATTCAGGGCATCAGGTGTTTAATGGCGTGAGCTAATTAGACTTCCCTATTTTCATGTGATTTGGACAAAATATTAATGTGCATATAGTAATATATTCCTTTTAGATACATTTTAGGCACTTTGAAATTAAAAGCAGAATGAAATTATCTAGGATTTTTTTCAACTTTTACTGAATTAAGATACTTCAAAATACAGTAAAATATAACAAGGAGTGTAATTTTATAGTATCTTTTATTTTAAATTGCCAGCAAGATAAAATACCTTGGAGGGGGAACTTTGGTTAAATATTACTAAAAGTCATTTCATGGTGTGTTACAAAGATTTGAGAAAGCCACTGTGGATTTGCATTTTTAGTGGGCTCTCTTGAAAGAATGAGTTGAGATTACAGACGCTAATAAAAGGGTCCCCTTGTACTGTACTTTTTTTCATTACATCTCTGTCTATATGCATGTAGTGAACTATGAGTCCAGTAGCACATTTCCTTCTTTTGTCTTTGCTTGAACAAATTATATATACTAATTAAAATGTCTGAATGTGTGCTTTTAAATATTAGTGTTCTGGTTATCTGCCATTTACTGATATTTATGCTCATGTTTACCTTTCTATTTTCCCTTTTTATGAAAGAATCAGTATATGCCACATCATCCTAACTTTACCTGTTGTTTTTTTTCCCTGTTTCTTTCTGTGCCTTGCATAAGTTGTCTTGCATTGATTTAGTTTCAATTGATTTGAATTTTTTCTTTGTATCATGGTTTTATTTATAATTTCCTTTTCATAATCCTATTGGAATTCACCTAGACTAAGGACTTTTCTTGGCATATCTGTATCAGGTAGCTGCATTCACAGTTAGAGACTACTGTTCAATGTCTTAAAGTTTAGCTTTTTGACTGTTTTCTTAACAAACTGTGTTTTTAAAAAGTATGGAAAAATATCCATACTCACAGATGGTAGCAAGTATCCATATGTGCTTCTGTTTGACTGAACCATAACAGGAAGTTTTCATATTCTCCTCCCCCTTCCCGCCCCCACACACTACTTGTTGCGTTTAGTGGTTTAATTTCATGAAGAGAGAAACCTTCAAGATGAAGTATAATCTTTACTTGTTCAAACTGCATTGGGTTTTGCCAGCCATCTGTGAAGTTAAGGGAATAGACTTGGCATGTGTCGCAATCTTAGCTGAAAAATGTAATTTTCCCATCATTTCCAATACAATTTTCCCCCTCATCATCTGCAGAATAAATGCTCTTATTAAAATTGAAGAAGTTAGTGACTCATCAGATTAAGCAACTAAAGAACATTTTCCCCTGGATAGTAAATGGACTTTTTTCCTCTCGATATCTGAAGTGCAACACTAGTACTACCGTAGAGGGAAGAAAAATAAAATGAGTGCCAGAAATGTTGATACAGAAATTTCTAAGGGCTGGAATTTCACAGATACTGAACAAACTGGTATTTCAGTACAGTCAGCGATGCTTGTCCCTGATGATAAACACGTTACAAATACGTAATGTGTGTGTTTATTTTTGAGTTGAATTGTGTCTGAGTAAAGATTTTGAAAATCACAATTTGTTCACGTATTTCCCCTCACAAAGCACTGTGTTTGTACAGACTTAGTTTTATTGAACCCTAACAAATAACTCATGCTTCTGCAGAATGATTAGAATGCTGCACCCCAGTGACATCTCTCTGCCTGTAGGTTCTCGTCTTACTCTGTTTTCTAATGAGATTTGTGTGGAAGTGGCTTTCAATAGCCTATATTGCCTCACATCACTTTTACCAGTGGTTTTCATGGAAGATATCACCAAAATAGGTGTTTGCTATTTTTTGTCTGTCATGTTATTTTATGCATTTGAATAAGATCTGTGTAATTTTTTCTGTTGTTTGACAGTATAATAATTTGTAAGTAAAAAAAAATCAGTTGTTCCTTTTAAAGTATAAACTTTTTTTTTTTACAACAAATTTGCTTTGGCGTGTCCTATTGATATCACAAATACTGTGATCTCAAAGTCTATTGCTTTTTCACCCTTAGAAGCTTGAATTTTATTATGTAAATCTGGAATATAATAGTTGATAATCTTTCCTGGAAGTACATTCATTTTAAAGCACATTCTTGTCCCAAATAACGCTCTTTTGTGGATCTGTCACTTGGAGCTTCATTTTAGATTTCAGGAAAGTAAAAACCAAGATGTTATCTAGTAAATGTGTATCACGTTATAGAAATCATGCTTGGTTTTGAAAATTGACCATAACTGAAGATTCCAACAGTTTGGATGTACAAGAATGTACATACAGAAGTAAATTGCATTTGTAGTTTCAGCAGTGTGTCATGTGAATGGCTTGGAAGTCTAATTGCACTGATTGAGTGTAAATATGTTATAAGCAAGTCCTATTAACGATTGCCTGATTGCCTGTCTGGCTTTTCCAGTGCATTTCAACACTGTCTTAAACCATGTTAACGTTCATATTACTATGCAGCACAACACAGAAATGAAAAGCAGAAGTAACATTACAGAATTGTTAACTTTGAATTTTATGAAGATGCATCATGATACATTTAAATAGCTGCATAGCATTGTATTTCTGTCTGTGGTGCTTCTTTTATCCTCTTCTTTTCCTGTCCTGGAGTTCATGGCTGTTGGTATTTGTATCTTGGTTTAGATGGTAAGTCTCAGGCAGATGAAATGCTTTCTGGTTTGTTTCATATGGCTGTTTCTGTATGTTTCTGAGAGCTCAAAATGTAGGTAATCGTTCCAGTAGTGATTTGGTGTATAGGGAAGGCAGGAGGATCCCGTGACACTGAACTACTTGAGGAATTGCAATGCTGATTTCCACAATTTCATTTTCTATACGTTGAGCAGACAGAATTATTTTTACCTCTTTAATTTTAGTGCGTTCCTACAGCAGATGTTTGGGTTCTTGGATTGTCACTGCTGCTTGAGCATCGGTATGTTGGAGAAGGGTAGAAGGAGGGAATGTCCAATAACAGACATCTGTGTATTACAGCATAAAACACCTTTGTCTTGCTGCTCAGAGTGCATATTATTAGAATTTGATCAGGATAATAGTTTAAGACTCTGTTTTATGTTTATTTTTTGTTTAATGGACAGAAAGGCCTGGTAGGTAGCTTTAAAATTCTGATAGACTTTGTGATTTTTATAGTCTCATAGCAACTTCATTGGTACGTGATAGAGCTTTTGCTCACCAGCTGTCCAAATTAAAATGCAAAACGTAATAGAGATTTCTGTAGCTCATTTTAGTGTAAACAACCATGTCTAATAGATTTCACCTTGTTGACTGAGCTAGTGTCTGCTGTGTTGCAAGAACAAATATTCTCTAGGATTAAAGTGCTTAGTTCTTTGATGAATATTTATTTAGTATTGTTCCTTTTGTGTAAAAAATGAAATAGATGTAATAAGCAAACAGATATGAAACCATTTTATGTGAAGTCACAGTAAAAATGTTAACCATTTCTATTGCTGTTTGCAATGAGAGATGAAATAATGTGTCTCTTAAAGATGGATATTCTCTTTCTGGTTTGGATATTGGGTAACTTTTGCAGAGGAGCAGGGGTTGTTTTGTGCATGTGTATGTATGTGCATATTCATGCTAATGGTGTGGTTCTTTCAAAGGTGAGGAGTAAAAATTTCTTACTTCTTCAACCCAGAGGACAGCTGCATTCCTGAAACACGAGATTTGCTTGCCACTCCTTAGTGTGTCTGATTTAAAATATTGTCTCAAAATTAGACTATCTGTGGTGCAAGTCCTGCTGGAATTTTTTAATCCATTGCTAGAGAGTGTGTCTTTACAGTCCCATGGGACTCAAAGATGTGTTTGTCATGTATTTCAGTGCATCTAATGGTGGCTGTTTACCCCATTGTTCTCTTGCTACTCGAACGGCAATGATTAAATTATTAATAATTTCAAAATCTTCATAATAGGGGAATCTAGAACTAAATAAATCAGAATCCTCTTCAACCTTCTTAGATCATGTATTCATTTATGGGTAAACATTAGATGAAAAAGGAGGGATGAGGACAGGCATTTACAATATTAATAGTCCACATATTTAAACATTTCAGTGTATTGCAAAATTCATCCCAAGGGTATTGTCCGGTAACATATTTGTAAAGTAAAATACTATAGTTTGAGGCACATCCATATGCCTGTTTTGGTTTACTCCCCACTTTGCCTTGCATTTTAGAAATACACAACAGAGTGTTCCTGGCCTGAATATATTGTGATTAAAAAGCATACATTGCATATATTTTTATGTTTTAGTGTGCATTTTAACCATCTGCACAAGATTTGACAGAGTTTGTTACTGTGCTATTCAGCATCTAGGGATTGTTAAATGTATGTACGAGGTAATTCTGCGACCTTTTTTGACCATTTCAGAATTTGTGGAAACATCTATTTACCCTTTAAGCTTCCAGCTTACTTCTACTGAATACCCTTTTGTGTTGTAGATTGTTAAAAAGAATTAAAGGAGTTTTCTTGATACCTATTATGAAGACTACAGAAAAAATACTGATAAGTTTATAGTTTTCTTTGTTCAGGATTTCCTCTTCTTCAGGTGTATTCTTTAGTTCAGGGAGCATCTGAACTATGCTTTCAGGCATATGGTTTAGTTTTAGGTAGTCCTGTGAGAAGCAGGAAGTTGAACTTGATGATCTTTATGGGTCCCTTCCAACTTGAGATATTCTATGATTCTATGATTTAGGTTTCTAATTGAGTATTAATTCTGTTATATTGACTGTAGAATAGATGAATCTTTCTGCTTTTCTTCCCTTCCCCTCACATATATAAGCAGCACTGCTACCCGCTCCCCCCCCACCCCCCCCCCCCCCCAAAAAAAAAAGGCAGAAAAAGAGGTATCAGTCTGAAGTGTGAATGAGAGAATGGTACAAAATGAAGAAACTCTCTTACTCTCAGATTATGAATGGTAGAGTGAAACTGCAGTAGCGTAATCTAAAACGCTAAGTCTGGAATAAAATTTCTATGCTCAGTATTTTCACGTATCTTGAGTGTTGATATAGGTGGTATGAAAAATTTTGTAGTTGCTTCATTAATTGTGCAGAAGATCTCAAGGACTGCTTTCTATGTTTTCTGGAAAAAAGACAGCCTAAAAAGTAGAAATTGCATACAGCAATAATTGTGTGTAACTCTAGGTTGTAACACTTTAGAAAAAGAGTAAATTAAATGACGCTAATAACCTGATTTCATGGTTAACCTTAGTGGGTTGTTCAATAGATATATATATATATACACACACTTCCTATCCAGATGTATTCTGTAATTGTCCAGGGACCATTTCCAGAAATGCATTCTACTGATGGAATGGAAATAGTGCCCTAAATAATTTCTCGCAATCTTTTTTTTCGTAGACACATTCATGCCAAAGTGCTTTGTCTCTTTGTTTTCAGAGTTGCAATAGTTTCCAAGTCTTTTGAAGGAAAAACTGATCGGACAGAAGACTGGTATGGAACACAGTACAAACAAGAAGCAATTTCTGATGAAGTTATAAAGGCACGTTCAAACATTTAATATATTCTACTACCTACCAGTGAAAGACAGTGGTAAATTCTGTCTAGTTTTCCATTTAGTTGGAGGGAGAACTTAAATCTGCTGCTCTACACAGCATGACAATTGTACAATGACTCTGTTTAATATTATGAGAAAAAGGCTCTTATATTAGTCTTTATATTTCAGGTATTTATTATGTAGGACAGGTATATTAAAATGGTTTAAAACCATGTTAAGTGCAGGGAATGTTATACCATTTTTGCTATAAAATATCCATAATATGCAGTCGCTACTTAAAAATGTAAGCATTAACTTTAAAAAACTTTAAAGTCTCTATTAAATGTTAATGAACTAATATCTTCTTAAAAAGGAATCCTTATACAACTGCTATACATAACTGTATTTCTGAAATTGATTTTTGCAACTTAGAAAATGCATATATTTTGACAATGAAATGAGCTTCTAAAAATCAAAACTCCAACAAAGGAAGTGGACAAATCCTTGTTGAAACTCCTTATTGTTGTATCCTTTTAAGAAGAGATGGCTGTAAAATACACCCTAGAGATAAATTGGACCTGCTGAGCATGCTTGGAACAGACATTGCATAGGAACACTTCACGTCCTTTAGCTTGTACATACCCATGTTCTTGATTAGAATTTTTGCTTATGTATTTAGTTGAATGCCTTCATTTAGAGTTCACAGTAGTTCACAGAAAAGATAAGACGTAGAACTACCTTCCACTCTGCTGTAAACTTTTTCAAAATTATTTTTTTATCTCTTGTCTTCCTCCTTGGAACACTTCATCCTCGTGATAGCCTGTTCCAACTTGGTTTCCCAGATATCCTCTCTTTCTCTGTTATCTTAATAGTATTTACACCTAAGCTAGAGGAACATATTTTAAAATATTTGGTTATAGTATAAAATAAATATGTATATATCCATGAATTAAACAAATTCTAGTTAGTCTCATTGTTTCCCCTGTTTATCTAGAAATGGCAAAATGCCGACCTGAACGGGAAATTCAAGCTTCCAATGAAGAATGAGTTCATTCCTACTAACTTCGAGATTTTGCCATTGGAAAAAGATGCGACACAGTACCCTGCCCTTGTCAAGGTAAGCTATCTCTATTTGTTCTGTTTGCTAGCTAACCTTCTGGGAAGTTAGCAGTTAATTCCTGTCTGTTTTTAAAACACAGATCAAGTCATATTTCAAACTATAACAAACTAAAAAGTACAAAACTTAAAGATACTGCTAGAAAGACAGTAGAAAGTTCATTCTTGCTAAACTTTGGATTGTGACTATTTGGGTCCCTACAAAAATGAATCTACCAACAGCTTGAACTCTCTTTACCCTTTTGAAAGCATGTTAACAATTGATAGAAGTAGTATTAAGGCTGTTTATTCACCAGAAGGGTGACTGCCATTCTTACATGTTTTTTTTTGAGCAGGGTTCAGTAAGTCAAGGATGTAGACAAGGCTGTTCTTGTGTAAGTGTGTATGGAAAAAACTTACGATTGCATGGAAGAAGGGAGAGAGAGATGTAAATAAAAATTACTTTCCAGTCTCCTGGAAGCATCATTTAATGATCTTGATACGTTTAGCAAATCTCAGTTTTTCTGAGTACATAAAATTTACTACAAACTACTTCTCACTACTAAAGCGTAGTTGTCTTTGCTAATGCTCATCTTTGTTCTAGGCTGAGTTGGAGGATAAGTAGGAAAAGTCTTCTGAAATTACATGTTGTGCTTCAGTTTGAATACTCAATTCAGGATTACTGTTTGCATGCTGGATTAATATGAGTCTACCTTAGTGCAAAGACATCCTTCAGAAAAACATATTTGTTCTGCACAGGATATTAATACTTGAAGCAGTATTATTAACAGAGGAAGACTTTGAACATACGTTTATCTTGATCCTGAACTGAAACTCTAAACCTCAGCAGGGACGCGTACTACAACTCTATTAAGTAACGCTAATTGGTTTGCTACAGAAACTTGATGATCCTTCAGTGTCTCTGTAGCATCTAGGCAATTGGTCCACACAAAAGCTCTGCTTTAAAGCATTGCTGTTTTAGAAATGTATTTGCTTTTAGTTTTTCCTTTCCCTTTGAAATACATTCTCTGAGGGAAAATGTTTTTAAACTGTACTTGAAGTAGGCATTATCTGTTTTGTCTGCGCCTCTTTTATTTTCTCTCCAGCTGTATGTCTGTTTCATTTTCCTTTTGTGGACACTGGCATTTGTCTGACCCCACAGCAAAACGTTGCAAGAACTAAATCAGCATAGATAGCTGTACAAAAAAACCTATTTTTTCTGCTGTTTTATATGCCTAAGTGACCTTACTATGGACTGGACCAGTGTTGTGGTGAAAGAGAGGGACAGGAACATAAGTGCAAGAACAGGATGGCCATTTTTACTGTCAGCATGTCACTGGGTCACCTGTGCTGTACTAGCATGTTTTGCCCTGAAAAACCCTCCGTAAAGAGGGCAGTTAGGATATCGGCTTTGGCCCGAGGGCCAAATTGTTACAGTGGACTGCAGCTAGCTACCTCCAGCTATTGGATCGGGTCTCCAGTAGTACAGACAAGTTCTGCTCTTTATTATTCTGTCCCTGATGTAAAATGTATTCTAAACTGTGTAGTAGCAATTTAACAGAACAGAAGTTCTGTTGTCTCAGAGAGAAGCTGTAATCTGGCTTTTTTTTAGTGTGAGTCAAATATTGTGTAGAGGAAGGTGTGCTGTAAGAGATCAGATTTAACTTACTTTGTGCAAAAAAGAGGAGGAAAATACCATGCCAAATCCCTGAGAAGGAAAGAACATCTGCTCTCATATATGAGAAAGAGAAATAATTTTGCATTTAAAAGTTTTCTCTTCTTACATATAGCAATTTCAAGAAAGGTGTTGGGGGAGATAAAGTTAATTAGTGTTGGAACAGAGTATCTATTTCACAGCCTTTGTGGGAGAAAAAGCAGTAAGAGAGGTTGTGTAGATTCTTTCCTCTACTGGGAGATTATTCTAAAAAATTTGGTCGCAGATCTTTTAACTAAATTCCAGCTAGTTCTACTACTTTTTCTAAATGCGTATATGTTTTTTGTTACGAGCGTTACTTTAAAACAACATACAATGCGTTATTATTTTTTACTAAAAGCATTAAGTACACAATTATATTCTTAGTCTAAAACATGTAACTATATGCTGGTGTAGTGCTGCATTATGGTACGTTTTCCCTAGCATTAGGAGGCAATTTTGCGAAGCTTACCATTTAGTGTCTTTTATCACTTCTGCTTCTAGTAGTTCCCATTTTGGCTGTAAGATGATTCATAATGCAGCAGCTATTTTATTGCTTGTTAAGGTGACATATGGTAAGAAGAGAAGAGAGTTTCAATAAGGATAGATGGATGTATACACAAATGTCTCTAGCTAGAATATGAATTAAGGGGACAACACTAAACTGAGATTTGAAGTGGTGAAGAGACCTTTTTTTTTGAAGTAGTGTAATATATTACAGTTAAGTTAGATAACTTAAACCTCTTTTCTTGACACAGGACACTGCTATGAGCAAACTATGGTTCAAGCAAGATGACAAATTTTTTTTGCCAAAAGCTTGTCTCAACTTTGAATTTTTCAGGTATGCAATGTTAAGTATATCACATAAATTGCTCTCCAAAAATTTATTGTTTGTTGGGAATCTGCATTTCTGTGCCAAAAACTGCCTTGCATGTACTGAGGCTTTAAAACATTTGTCCTTACCTGGGAATATGCAGTAAGATACCGGTAGCAGGAAGGCTTATGTAAGTTATGCAGTAGTTGAGTAGCAAGCAGTTTGAGGTGCTCCATCTATTTTATCAGGAAAAGTTTATCTAAAAATACTTTTAAAACAAGTTTTCTTCTATGTTTTATTTGCTATACCTGAAATACGTCTGCCAGTAGGACCTACTACATATTGCAATATACCTCTTTCAAAATGGATGTGTATTATTTTTAATCAGTTACTAAATCACAACTATTTCAAGATAGTGTTTTCTTCAAAAAATGCTATTCCAGTAACGGGTTTAGGTTCAAATTCTGTTTTAACTTGTATAATGCAAACCAGTATAAAATTCTAAGTGCTTAAAATGGTGGGATTTTATTTAACTGACACCAACAACTGACTTTTTTTTAGATTATGATTCTCACCGCAAGATGCATGATAAAGTGCTGTATTGTTAATTCTGGTCTTGCATTGTTTTAATCACAAGAAAATTTATCTTTTAAGTGAGCATGAGAGTGGTGTACCTTCTTGGTGTTCCTTTCAAGTAATAATTTCTAACTTTTGAATTAAAAATACTGCTGTCTTTAGAGTGCAGCTGTTTCTGTGTTAGACCACTGGTAGCAAAAATAATTTCAGGAACTCTCCTTGTTTGGCCCAGTTAAATGATTTGGAGGTATTGCTGGAAAGGCTATTCTGTGGGCTCTGATAGATGCTTATAGATGCACTGTTGAGTCCTTGTTTTGAGTGACCACTTGAAATTTTTATTGGCAGAATTTTAGAGGGTTTTTTCAGAGTGTCAGATCTTGGTACTGGCATTGGTACTAGTCGGGGAAGATAGGTTGCCTGGGTGTTTCCACAAGGCTAACATTACAACTGTTTCAACTTCAGTGTGTCAGGAAATGGAAGATCAAAATGGTAACTGTCCGTCTCTTATTCGGAGAAAAACAATTGCAGTACTTTGCCTTCTGTGTTCATACCTTGTGGCTTTCCTTTGTACTATATTTGGCCAAAATCCAAAATAGGATTTTATTGATGGACATGGAGTTTGTTATACAGTTGTGGGCTTTTTTTTTTTGATCAATTCCACGTGAACTATGAGTGATCCAATCTCTATACCAGTTTACGAATGATTAAAATATATTAGTTGTAGAGCACACAATGGTGTAAATATGCACATATACACATAATATCATAGAATCATAGAATGGTTTGGGCTGGAAGGGATCTTTAAATGTCATCTCGTCCAACCTTCCTGCAATGAGCATGGACATCTTCAACTATATATGTGGTGATAGTCTTTCCCTGTTAGATTTGTACTTTCATCTCAGTGACCCCTTTTAAAAAGCCAGAAGTACTTGAGCTTTGCTAATGTAAGGGAATGATTTGCCTCTCTCCTCTTAGGAATGCTTAGAGGTGGAAAGCTGACTTTTTTTTTAGGGTTGGAAGTGAAAGTTCTTTCCTCTTTAAAAATAAGATGGTAATTTTATATGAACAGATGTGAGGAGTTTTTGACAATGTTTTGGTGTATCATCTCCAGAAGTTGTAAGCAGGTTTGTCTGGTTTTGATACTTAAGAAAGATTCTTTGTCAATCTCTCCCTCTTTTAAGACTAGTCATGCTGATGGTCATTATAGGAAATGAGTTGGTGAATAAAGCCATCTTAATAATATGGGTTTTCAGAAAAAAATTTAGCCTCAATTCTGGAACAGAACGTGATAGCTTGTAGCAGATTACAATAATTTCTTCACTCTACAGACTGCTTCGGTAAGATAGAAAAAACTAGGAGGATTTCTTCTGTGTGCAGCCCTGATCATCACAAATCATTGAAAGAATTCCTGACACAGATGTTATAGCAGCAAGTGCTGTGTAGATGAATTAAGAGGAAGTTGATGAGTGTATTCAAACATAAAAATCGAATAGGAGCAATCTGAGTACATAAACTCTTGGAGTTGCCTTATTCCAAAACTGAAAATCCTTACATGGCACAAGTCTTGCACTGGAAGTAACGCCACAGTAAAAACCTCTGACACAGGACTTACCATACAGCCTAAAGGATGGTAATAAGCTTTGCTTTTGTATGAGTTATGATTTAAGAAGTTAACAAGTATCCTTTTTTTAAAAGGAAGCAAAATAACAATGTAATGTGCTGTTGTTTTGAAAACTTTCTGAAGGTAGTCATAAACTTTGCACTTCAAGTTTCCCAGGGTTTAGAGAGATGGATGTTAAAAATATAATGCTAATTATTTTTTAACTGGATACTTGCTGCCTGCCAGTTTAAGAAATATTTCAACTTGAGTTGCTCATAAGGTAACCCAGGATCAACACTTCAGTGTTGATTCCAGCTATGTCACTTACAGCTCTGTTTGAAAGGGAAAAAGACTAGACTTTAAGATTTTTCAAATACTCTTATCAGAGATTAAGTTGTTCTGCTTCCTCAAGTCTAGTCAAAAAAAGGTAAACTAGAAATAGCATTTATTTACAAAGTTGTCAGTAATAGAAGCAACTCCCAGAACAGTGTCATAATAATTTTTTTCTCTTATTTTTCGTTTGAAGATTAATAAAGTCTTCCTTATTTTCAAAACTCCCTGTTGGCCTTTGCCAGCTAAATGAGTATACAGAAGTTATAGCTGATATGGACATAGTAATGACTCTGATTTTCTCTCTATTCTAGTATCAAAATGGAAAAGAATATAATGAGTTTGGAGGAAAGTTTATGATAACATAGGATTAACCTCCATCTTGCTTTGAATTCAGTTTGAATTTTAAAAAAATATTAATTGGATTTGCATCATTGTGCATATTGAAATTGCTCAGTTTGGGGTAATTCTTATTGTAGGGAGAAATGCAAATGGCAGAGTCCCTTTTTTTTTTTTTTTTTTTAACTGATGTGTTTGCTTAAGTTACACAAGCTGAAGCCTAGAATAATTAACCCAGTGGTAGTAAAAAAGCACATCCTAGGTTTAGGATTTCAGATTATGGAAGGCTCTGCTTTTCCCATGCTTCCTTTCCTTAATCTAAAATGAAGGAGAAGTCAAGGCCTTATTAAAAACTACTAGGAGCCTTCTTAAAAATACCTTTGCAATGCAATGTATTTTAAAGTTATCAGCATGTGTATTGTGGCAACGTGGTCTTTCTTTTACTACATTAATGTTGGTATACACTATGACGCACCATGCTTTACAGACAGAAACGTATAATAGCAGAATAACGTGTCTCTGAATATGAGCATTAGTGACTGCTGAGGGAAAATAAATGCAAATGGCATGGCTTTGAATTGCAAGTCACACCCTGACAGCAGATTGTTTCAGATATTGCTGATTATTTCTGTGAAATATGGCTTGAGTCTTTGAGTTGCATTTCTCTTTTTGAGAAATTTGCGACAGTATTGTATGTGATCGAATGCTTCTAAAGCAACAGTAGAGCTTGTACAGTTGTTGCCATTAAAATGTAACGAAAAATTATGGTGGTATGAAAATGGATACCCCACACTTCTTTCCTGAGCTGAATTTAGCATGTACTGCATATTTTTCGTACCACAAATTGCTAATCTCTTAATTTTTACAATAGAAACTACTTTGTTTTCTGATAGTGTAGAATTATTAATTAAAATATTGTTCAGTATGTGGGCTTTAGTTTCAGTCTGTTAGGTGATGTTGGCTATTCAGGGTGTATTTTGTTTCTTTTACTCCTGGTGAATTGTGGCTCTGCAGCAAAATAAATATAGTGTGTCTTGATTTATGAACACAAATAAGAGAATGTCTTTGGAATCTTCAATATATTCAGGCATTGATCAAACCATAAGTTAAATAATTACTTTCAGGTATGCTGAATCCATGGGTATGGGATCCATCAGCATACTCGCAGTAAATATTGTTTCATTCAGATCAAACTTAAAAGGCCAAAATAAACTGAGAAATATTTTTAAACTGCATGTTTTACTTTCAACATTTTCTTCCAGCCCATTTGCTTACGTGGATCCCTTGCATTGTAACATGGCCTATTTGTACCTTGAACTACTCAAGGACTCCCTCAACGAGTATGCATATGCAGCAGAACTAGCTGGCTTGAACTATGATCTCCAAAATACCATCTATGGGATGTATGTAAGTACCCAAATCAAGGAAGAGCTTAGAACCTTAAAACTACTTCCACTCATCAACATTTTTATATTGATTGATGGAAGGACTTCTACTTTAAAAAATGAGTCTAAGGCTGTTACTCCTTTTGATCTTGGTCATTAACCATCCTTTCTTTAATTTGAAGTTGAATTTTGTTCAAAGTCTTCAACAATCTTTCCATTCATATTAAGCAAATTTTCTTCTTTATTTTTATATCATTCATGAAATTAATTAGTTTTAAGATTTGTTCCTCCATTTTAAAAAAAGGAAAAAGCAACCCTAATCCAAGCTTACATATTTATTTCAGTTTGTCAGATATCTACTAAAAACTTTCTGACTGGGGTTCCCCTTTTCATGCTATTAAATAAATGGTACACTTCAGCTTTCCTGTTCAAGAACTACTTATCATGAGGCTGCATATACATACTCTTCAGTCATGTTTCTTCATCCATTACTTTGTCACTGCTTGAGGTATCAAAGCATTTCTTTTGTTTTTCTTTTTGTTAGTCGCTACATTTATGCTGATCCTCTCCATTGCAACATGACATACCTATTTATCAGGTTATTGAAGGATGATTTAAAAGAGTATACATATGCAGCACGCCTCTCAGGTTTGGTCTATGGCATTGCATCAGGAATGAATGCAATACTTGTAAGTAAGAAAAAAACACAGGAGAAAATGAAGCAGCTTGAGAGTTGTTGAGCTTGGAGAAAACATTTGACTTCTGCATTTCTAAATGAGTTGTTTAATGTTTTTTTCCTTGCATATATCTCATTAATTAAAGGCAAAGCAAAACTTTATTTTAATCAGTAGTGAGTGACCCGTTTAAGATTGCAGTGTCTTGTGAACATGTGTGCAGTGCAATTGTTGCATTCCATTTCACATTTTTACCTGCTTGCATGATAATCTTGAAAGTGCTGTTGCTGGTTTCTATATAAAAAGATTAACTTTTCTGTTGAATGCATCTCAACTTTACAGATACATATAATTCTCTAATTCTGCTGTAGTGAGCTGTGGAAATGGATTCTGCATGTGTTCATTAGAATGCAATGCTGGATATTTATGGCTTTTCCTTAGTGTTTGTTTTTATTACATGTTCTATAATCTGTTTTAAAGTGCTGACAATACTTGACAAATATTGATATTATGATAAATGGTTATTTCTTAATCAGCTTCTATAAGATTTATGATAGGAGACTTTAATTGTCTCTCTTGAAGTTCTGTTAAAAGCTTTTACTAACGATCATTTTATACCAAAATGTGTCTTGAAATTTCCTGTAGAAATATTGTTTTCCAGAGCATCTTAGTAACAGAATATACTGTATATTGTCCTTACATTTTCTGTATGAAAGAGAGTGTTGCAGTTTCTTTTTTTTATCCAGTGCAGATCTTATTTCCTGGTAGCATTCACTTAACTTACTGGAAACATGGTTATCTGTTCTCAGTTTCAAAGCTTGCTGATGGTCAGAGTTAATTCCTTAAAAAAAAAGTGTGGCATTTTCTTCATTTTTAGAAGTTGAGAGTTATTTTAAATATTATCTGGTTTTTGTAGGGTCTTTATGTTCTTCTGCTGTAAAGATTCTGTTGTCACATATTAATATCAGTTTACCCCTTTTTGATATCTGGGAACTTCTAGTGTTCTTTTTTCTCTGTCGTGTGAACTGTTATAGTCAATAAGCATAACTGCGCGATGTTGATACTTGAAGCAAGGACAGATGCTACACTGAAAACAGTCACCCATGGCGACTGTTGAACAGTTGGTGTCTGCTCGTTTAGAATATCAGCTTTTGTCATGAATCCATTTATGATAGCTTTCTCTTCAAATCTATGGTTCAGGTATGTTTCAGCAACTATAGAAGAAAAAATTCTTCCTACCTGAAAGCAGGAATTCACCTGTATGTTCATTTGTGTCCTAAAATTTTGTCTTACCCTTAATAATTAAATGGCAAAAATCCAATTAAATTCCTATCTTGAGATACCAGATTTTTGAAGTTTTTTTTCCCCCAAAAAGAAGACGTTCAAATGCCTTTTTTCACTAGACATATTTTCTGTGGCTTGATGCAATCATAGAGTAATTTTTAAGTTTCTGTGTCTTTTTTTAAATGACCAAGTTTACTTTGTGTATACTTTCAAAATAATCAGATCAATATCTCATTATGATAGCAGACTAACTACTTTGGTGTTTCAGCCCAGCACCATTTTGGTTATAAATTGTGCTGCTGTTGACAATAACCCCTTTTCTTTTAGCATTGCTTATTTCCACTTAAGTAAGTTTGGGGTTTTGTTGAGCAACAAGATAAAGATGAAACAAGGTTAAAAGTAAATTGGACAGAATATTTAAGAAGGCCATGAATCTAGATTTCATTACTAAAATGAGAAACCTAGAGTAAAACCATTTCAGTGCTCCAAATGTACAGTTTACTGACTGGACTCAATAGTTGTAATCATTAAAAATCTGTATTCCCAGTATAATTTGCTTACATCAACATGAAATTACAATAATTTTCTGCATTCATAACACCTGGGTCAATAAGCAATATTGCATTCATGAGTTATCTTTTGGTGGATAAAGGAGTTTTATTTCAGAATGAGTTAATGTTGAATAACTTTGAATTTAGTGTAAGTATTGAAAAGTGTATTGTTCATTGGATTATACAAGACTTGGTAATTGTTTTAGTTTTTTATCTTCCACATTTAAATCAAATTATATGCCTTTTCCATAGCTTTCTGTAAAAGGTTATAATGACAAGCAACATATCTTGCTCAAGAAGATCATTGAGAAAATGGCTACTTTTGAGATTGATGAAAAACGCTTTGAAATTATCAAGGAAGCGGTAAGCTACATGAGAAATTTACATTTTGGAGTAATTAAAATTGAGCGCATTGATTTGAAATCTGAGGGCTGATTATCCATGGAAATACTGAAATCCTGCCTTTATTGGGAGTGCAGAGGCTTTCTCCTTTTGTCTTGTTCGTGGCCATGAGTTCCCTGGAGAGTTTATATTGCGTTCTTCAGCTAAAAATAATTGGCTCTGGAATCTTCTTTCAGTCTTATGATTGATCAAGGAGTTGCAGTTGGCTTTGATAGGAGTAGAAATCTAAGAAGGGGAATGACGGGGGAAATCTTAACTTTATATCCTGTTTTACAATTTGGAAAAGCCCCAGTGGGATCTAGCCATAAAAGAAGGGGAAAACGGATGAAGGGGGAAAGGAAGTGTTGAAAAGATTTGCAGTATTGCTTCTCTCCAGATGTGAAGAGGAGCTCTGCTCCTGGGCCAAGATCGGTGCGAAAGTAACCAACTGGTTAAGTACATGCTGACTTCTGGAAGTCTTACTTCCTAAATTTTGTGACTCACCTGTATATATGGAATCTAAGTCAGATTATTTTTTTTTTTAGCTCCTGAAGCAAATTTATGAACAGTGATTGCATTTGCTAAGCCAAACAAGATACATAATTGTTCTTGTGGTGCTTTCTTTAGAGCAATACAGCGGTAAAACAAGGGAAATTAACAAATTAGATCTTGGCACTCATAGCAATGAGTTTTTGTGGAGGTATAAATGAGTGCCCTAGATTTAGACTGGTGTTGGGGAACAGGCTGAGTTCTGGCCCAGAAAGCTTGCAAATAGTCTGCAGCAGATGAGAGATCTAGGGCTGCAGGGAAGATCACTCCGTGCTTGCTGTAGTCTTACTTTAATCCTTGCTGCTGGTGAATTTTGAACAGGTGGCTGGCCTGGACAGGCAACCAGGGCCATCTTCAGTTCATTACTACTTAGTAGGAAATTCTAAGCAGGTGGCTATCAAACATAAGGTAGATTTATTATAAGAGCACTTCACATGAATCAGCTGGAAAGTTTTAACTGGATGTGACAAATGTCCAGGTAAAAAAACCCCATCCACAGGTCTGTGAATGATCTGTTTTGGATTTTATTTTAGTTTAAGATGATTCCCTGATTGTCTTTACAGTTTGCTTGAACTTTGTCTCTGAATTACACATTTTGACATTTTATAGCCTTTTGTTATGTAGGCCTTTTGTGTATGTAAAATAAGGACAAAATACCAAAAAGCCAAATCAGATGGGGAAATTTTTCCCCAGTTTTTTCCCCTCATGTATATATCCTCATGTATATACCTAACAGATAAGGGGAGATAGCAGCTTCTGGCTTGTCTTTTGAACAGGTAGAAGGATGCATCCTCAGCAACTTCATGCTCGCTGTTTCTCACTCATGTGCCCTGAAATGAGTTACTTTTCTCCTGTACTGGAAATGATCCCAGCTTGCCAAAACTATTAGTTTGCACTTTCCATTTCCTATGGTAGAGGAAAAAGGTTTTGCTTATTTTGTAAAGGCATAGCTTTCCTTGGAGAGAGGCTCCCTGACTCTTGTCTCATACCTCCTTTATCCAGGCAAAGAATGCAAAGAATTTATTAGATGCTCCTGTATTTTTCTAACCAGGTCAGCCCAGGGAAGTAACTGGGAAGTAACTGGGAGAAAAATACATTCCCCCACCCCACCTCTGTACAGTCATAATAGAATGTTGGGTGCTGAGCTGTTGGAGAGTA